CGGCCGCCCACTCCTCGGGCAAGGAGACGCGCCCGTCGTCATACTCCGGGACCTCGGGTTCATCATCTTCAACCATTATCCCCGGCACCAGAGCCGACATCTACACCTGAAAGCAGAGGACCTCGGTGAATTCGATAGCCAGGATCAAATCCACCCTTCCACCGCAAGTCAAGTGAAAGGGCGACAAAGGCCGAGGGGCGGCGGGCAGGCATTCGCTCCCCGCCTACCCTCCTCGGGGATCGAAGAACGACCCCTCAGCCCTTCGGGGCGGCCGTCGGAGAAGATACTTCTCCCCGGGGCAGTCATCAGAGAAAGCCCCCGTCCTCGGGGCAGTCATCGAAGAAAAACCCCCGTCCTCGGGGCATTCATCAGAAAAAGCCCCCGTCCTCGGGGCAGTCATCGAAGAAAAACCCCCGTCCTCGGGGCATTCATCAGAAAAAGCCCCCGTCCTCGGGGCATTCATCGGAGAAAAGCCCCCGTCCTCGGGGCATTCATCAGAAAAAGCTCCTGTCCCCGGGGCATTCATCGGAACTAGCCTACCGTCCCCGGGACATTCATCGGAAAACTCGCCAGACGCGGCGGAACTCGCATCCCTCCTCGGGGCGCCCATCGCGCCCCGACCACACGTCCCAGTCAGACGACGAAAATAAAAGAGAGGGAGAAGAGGAACTCACTTGTAACGGCGGCGGACGGAAGAAAAAGCGAATGGCACGGCGTTGATCGGCGGCGAACGGCGGACGGGCAGAGACGATGAAAGATCAACAGGGAGAAAAGTAGCAGAATGAGCGGGGACCGCCATATTTATAACCCGGCGCGAGGCTCGAAGCGACCCTAGGCTCATTAATGACACAGGTTAGCCGCCCCTACGACCGCTCAACGCAAGACACGTGGAAGCAGCCTGACAGTCGCGTCTCTCCATCTGCCTCCTCCCCGTTCTACCGACGACCGGAGCCCTTCGCACGAGTCCCCCGCTCCAGACATGACGACCTTAAGTCCTCGCTCTTCCCCAGAGCTTCGACTTGGGGGGCTCCTGTTCCGGTGTGGGCCTCACCTCGGCAGGCCCAATACCAAATACGGCCCAACAGGCGAACTGGGCACACCTGGCACACGCCCCTTCGGACGAGCAGGACCGTCCGCCGGGCACAAGCCATCACGCCGCATCCCCTTCGTCGCCCGTCACACCAGACGAGCGAGACTACCCGGGCTCCCTCCGCGGGAGAATAACGTGCTCGGCGCACGTTATCCATACGCTTCCCTCCGCGGGAGAATAATGTGCTCGGCGTACGTTCTCCACGTGCTCCCCTCCGCGGGGACACGTCATCGGCCAACCGCCCACCTCCGAAAGAGCAGGTCAAACCCACTTTCCGGAGACCTAGGAGCGGTTGAACTAGGGCGAAGACCACGTCCTGGTCTTCACTACGCCACGTAAGCCCTAGCAGTCATTAGGGTTGGGCCTGGTCGTCTGGCCCACCTCGAATGACCGTTGGCCCAGCGCTGGGGTCTCTCTATAAATACCCTCTTCTTCAAGAGGGTCAGGTAACTCTTCTTGCCCCCCTTTTTTCTGTACTATTGCTTCCTCTCTGTCCAACTTCTTACTTGGGCGTCGGAGTGCTTTGCAGGTACACCCCTTCCTCGTTCTTACCTCGGCGAACAGATAACCGTCCGGCGAAGCGTGGCCAGTCCGTGATCCCTCCTGATCAGGTCAGATCATATATATATATATATATATATATATATATATATATATATATATATATATATATATACATATATATATATATATATATATATATATATATATATATATATATATATATATATATATTATTTATATTGTTTATATTATTTAATATATATTATTAAATAAACAGATTAGAAAAATAGATTATATTATAAAAATAATTATATTATATTTAATTTGTATTATAAAACATATTTTAAAAATATATTTATAATACAAATTATAAAACAGTTTATTAAAATATTTATAAAACATATTTTATAAAACAGATTTATTAAAATATTTATAAAAGAGATTTAAAATAATTATATTATATTTAGATTTTATTAGAAAAAAGATTTTAAAAATAATTTTAAAAAAAAATTTATAATAATTTATAACACAGATTTATTAATATATATATATATATATATATATATATATATATATATATATATATATATATATATATATATATATATATATATATATATATATATATATATATATATATATATATATATATATATATATATATATATATATATATATATATATATATATATATATATATATATATATATATATATATATATATATATATATATATATATATATTATATATATATAAAACATATTTTATAAAATAGATTTATTAAAATATTTATAAAACATATTTTAAAAAATAAATTATATATTATAAATAGTATAAAACAGTATTGTATATATAAAAATAGTATAGATATTTAAATTGTATTGTGCTTATTTTATGAAAATAGTATTGCATTAAAACAGAATATATATTAAATTTTTAAAAAGCTGATTGTAGATGTATAATAATATTTTTATATAAGAATATTTATTTAATTAAATTTGAAAACATATTATATATTATTTTTATAAAAGAATATATTATATATATTAATATACACTTTTATTTAAAAAGTATGAGTTAAATCATAAAAATATATAATTTGCAATATATTTAAATAACATATACAAACTTTTTATATAAAGTATATAATTTGTAATATATACATTTTCTATTTAGAAAGTATTTATTTTTATTTAAAAAGTATTTATTTTTTAAAATATTAATATAATTTAGTAATATATTTATAAGAAACATAATATTATTGTAAAAAAAGTATGTAAATTTGTAAAAATATGTTATAACTTGTAAAGTTGTACAATATTTTATACTTTAATAACATGTTACATAATATTTGTAAAAACATATAAATCTATAACTTGTAAGTTAAAATATATTATAGCGCATGTAAATTTTTAGAAACATAATATATAACATTTTTTTATGTATAAAGTATGTTATATATTTTGGTAATATATTTATTAAAAGCATATAATTTATAAGTTAGTTTATATAAAAAATATTAATAATGTATTAAACATATGTATTAAAAAATATTTTTTTTAGAGAAAAAAAGTATATTTTAGATTTATATGATATATTAGTTAGGTCAATAGTCATATGTTTGTAGGTAGATCAATTCCCCTTTTCTTAAATTTAAATTTAAACATGAACAACATTACACATGTGCAGTATGAAATATTACCAGTTCTATCATAGTTGGATGTATGATAGAACATATTCAAGAAGACGTGAGCTTAAACCACATTTTAAAGAATGAGTTGTTGCATTTCTTACTTATGCGTTTGCTCAAGAATGTTGTCGAAGCGAAGGAGGGGTAAGATGCCCGTGTTTAAAGTGTGATTGCAGAAATATAATTAGTGACCCAAATGAAGTGAAACGCCACTTGGAGAAAGATGGTTTTAGGCCAAATTATTGGGTGTGGTATATTCTAATGGAGAAATACCACCAGAGATGAATAGAGAGACTTCAAGCAGTCAAACACATATTGGAGTTGGGATAGGTAGAGAGACATGCAAGCAATCAACCACATTTGCAAGACCAGGAACAATTTAATCTCATAGATGATATGGTTGGTGATGCATTAGGGGTGAATGTGACTTATGATGAACCTCAAGATTTTGATGCAGATGAGCTCCCGGACGAGGAAGCGCAAAATTTTTATCAACTGTTGAAAGAAATAAATATACCACTGTTTGAGGGGTGTTATGACTCTATGTTATCCATGTGTGTAAGACTCTTGGTTGCGAAGTCAAATTGGAATGTTCATGATCAGTGTTTAGAGTTCTTTGGAAAAAAGATGTTGGATGCGACTCGTGTGAAAGAAAACATGCCTACAAGTTATAATGATGCGAAAAGAATGGCGCCGAAGTTGAGACTAAAAGTGAAAAAGATTGATTGTTGCATTGGAGGTTGTATGTGATTTTATGATAACGAGTTTGGTACAAATGATGGGGGATTAGAAGAATGTAAGTTTTGTCAGAGCCCGAGGTATTTAGCTCACAGTGAAGTCCATGTTCTATCTTCCAATAATTCCTATATTGCAAAGGATATTTGCGTCAATTCATAGTGCAATCCAAATGATATGGCATCATAAAAATTCCAATAGTTCATGCATGATGCGACATCCATCTGATGGCGAGGCATGAAAACACTTTAATAGAGTACATACAGATTTTACAGCAGAACACATAAATTTCAGGCTCGGATTATGCTCAGATGGTTTTACTCCTTATATCCAATCGTCAGCAATTGCCTATTCTTGTTGGACAATTATTGTTATCCCGTACAATATCCCTCCTGAGATGTGCATGACGAAACCTTACATGTTTTTGACATGCCTCATTCCAGGACCGTCGAGTTCAAAAGCGGGAATAGATGTTTATTTGTAACCTTTAATTGATTATTTGAAGAGGCTATGGATTGGAGAATGGACTTATGATGTGTCTCGCAGATAAAACTTTAATATGTGAGCTACTTTGATGTGGACAATTAATGACTTTCATGCATATGGCATGTTGTCTGGTTGGGGTACGCATGGAAAAATGGGATGTCCACATTTCATGGGACACACAAAAGCGTTTACTTTGCAAATGGGTGCTAAAAGTTCATGGTTTGATTGTCATCGTAGATTTTTACCTATGAACCATGTTTTTAGAAAAAAATAAGAATGCTTTTAGAAAAGAAATAAAAGTAACAGATCTTCCTCCCCCTCGCTTGTCATCGACTGAAGTATGGAATAGTGTTAGTGACCTGCCAAAATTCACAGATAATGGTAAAACATGCATAATTCCAAGATATGGGGATAGTCACAATTTGACAAAAAGAAGAATTTTTTGGGACCTCCCATATTGGAAGGATAATTTGTTGCGACATAATTTTGATGTTATGCATATTGAGAATAATTTTTTTGATAATGTATTTAACACAGTGATGGATGTCCAAGAAAAGACAAAAGATAATGAGAAGGCTAGAAATGACTTGGAAATTTTGTGTAATCGAAAAGACTTGGAGTTAAAACCTCAACCAAATGGAAAATTATTAAAACTCAATGCTTGTCACACTCTTACTCCCCAAGAAGCAAAAGCAATTTGTCGATGGTTAAATGAGTTGAGGATGCCCGATGGTTATTCTTCTAACTTAGCAAGATGTGCTGATGCAAAAATAGGAAAGCTGCATGGAATGAAAAGTCATGATTGTCATGTTTTCATGGAACGATTGCTTCCAATTGCATTCAGTTCACTTCTTAAGCATGTTCTTAATCCACTAATTGAGATTAGTCAGTTTTTTAAAGACATTTGTGCGTCAACTTTACGAGTGGATGACATCTTTAAGTTGGACCAAAATATTCCCATCATTCTCTGCAAGTTAGAGAAAATATTTCCCCCAGGTTTCTTTAATTCTATAGAGTATCTCCCTATGCATCTTGCTTATGAATCTTACCTTGGTGGACCTGTTCAATATATATGGATGTATCCATTTGAACGATTCATGGGTGATTCAAAGCGATCAGTGAAAAATAAGGCTAAAGTTGAGGGATCAATATGTGCATATTATTTGCATCGAGAAACTTCACATTTTTGCTCTCATTATTTCAATCATATGATGTTGACTCCGAGAATCATAAGGAATGAAGTTCACTTTAGTGAAAGAAGTCAATTCACCTTATCGAATTTTGGCCGTCCCGGTCGTCCTTCTCGAAAGACAAGTGTGCATTGGTTGTCTGAAAAAGAAATGCAAAATGCTCATGTTCATGTTTTGATTAACTACATTGAAGTTAAACCATATCTTGAGCAAGTATATTAAATTAAGATTGTATTTTTTTGTTAAATATACTTGTCAGTTTAGCATAGATTTTTTCTTCTTCGAAATAGGGAATTTAATACTTATTATTTTCAAAGCACGGGTGAACAACCATCGATGGGTTACACACATGCATATTTTCCTGCATGGTTCAAGCAACAATTACATTGCATTGTTGCAATAAGTCCTGAAATAATTCATTTGAGAAATTTATCTGAAGGCCCTCATCAGTGTGCAAATGAATGGCACACATACCTTGTAAACGAATATAAATTTCACACTCAAACATGGACAGAAGGGAAGAAAACAATAAACAGTGGTCTAGTTGTAAAATGAGTTACAGAGGGTGGTGAGGACGACTTTTATGGTGTTATCACACATATTTATGAGTTGGTATATAATTATATGGACTCGAAAAATAAATTTGTCCTATTTTATTGTTATTGGTATGATCCATCTTCCAGAGGAATTAAAATAGATTAAAAAAATATAATATTGTTGAGATACAAATGGATAGAAAGTACAAAGAGTATGACCCATTCGTAATGGCACATAATGTTAGGCAAGTTTACTGTGTTCCTTATCCTTCAATTCAACCAAGTAAATGAGGATGATGTGTTGTAATCAAGTACAATCCAATGGGTTATATTGAATTTGACGGTGTAATGAAAGTTGATCTTGCATACCAAGATGATGAGATTTCACCAGTGAATGGGGTAATTGAAACTGAGGAGATTACAAGTTTGGGTGATACTGTGGTTGTGGGTCAACAAGTTGATGCAACCATCTTGTTATCAGCAAATCATGTGGAAGAAGAGGAAGAAGAGTTAGGAGACTCTGAAGACAACAATATCGTATCTGATGAAGACAATGATGATTACAATGATGAATAAATTAAATAATATGTATTATGTAATTATACTATTGTGTAATAATACTACTATATAATATGTATTGTTATATATAATACAATTGTGTAATTGCTTGAATTAATTTACTTTTGTCATTTTATGAAATATTTTAGTTTTAAAATGCCACCCTGAAGTGAGGAAAAAGGTAAGGGTAAGGCTCACCTCACAAGGTTCGTTGTAGCAGAGGTTCCTGATTCGTCTATGTTTATTCCTATGCCACTTTCGAGTCAGGTGCATCCTACTCCATTGTCTGTGCACCCTACTCCACCGCCTATGCATACTTCACACATGTCTGGCGGATCTTTCACCAGATTACTATGCACACCTGATTTTCCTTCATTTCCACCGATATCTGCACCGAACTTTATTAGTCCTCCTGGATATGCACCTATTATGCATCTCAGTACCCCGCATCCCTCATATTTTTCGATGCGGGGTATTGGGTGATACTAGTGCTCATGGTCATGGAGGTACCAGTTCTTATGATCATGGAGATACTAGTGCTCCTGATAGTTCTCATGAGGAGCGAAGGAGGAAACACATTTTGAGAAATGCAAAGCCCTAAACAATTAGGAAATACAAGGGCAAATACGTCATTTGTTGCGATGGAGGAAGGTATGTTTTATATATTATTTTTTTAAAATTTAAATTTGAGTTTTTTTAATGTCAATACTAACTCAAGATTTTTTTGGTTAGCCTTATACCATCACACCAGGCAGTATTGTGTATAACATAAGTTATTAAAGAAAAGTATAAAACATTTTGGCCGACATATGGAGCACTTCTCGAAAAAGAAAAGGAAGATTGGTTTAGTTTATTTCAGGTATAAAAGTAACTATTATTTTAATTTCTTATATATTTAGTTTATTTCATGATTTTACATTATTTAATTTTTTAAAATTCATAAAACAATGTAGGAGAAATGTGTTTAGTACTTTACAGAGCAGCAACAAGTAAGAGAAAATTTTGATATAAAATGTGCTGCCCGATTATCCGACACGCTTAGACGTGTTCGAATTAAATGGGAAAGTAAAGAAACACGTCCCTGTTGGATATGTGAATATGTATATAAGCAACTTATTGAACATTGGAATTCGGAAACCTTTAAGCAAGTATCTGAATCAAAAAAGAAAAAACAGGGCATCTGAAGTTGGTGGCTGCAACTACGCAGCAGGAAGTATTAGTGTTGCTGAAATTGCACATAGGCTGGTAAATTTATTTATGTTACTTAAGTTTTCATTTAAAATTTAGATTAAAACAAACTATTTTTTTACTTAAGTTTTATTTTATTAGCGTGATGAGTTGGGTAGAACTCTGATGCTTAATGAGATCCATCTAAAGACTCATATCAAGAAAAATGGGGAGTTTGTCGATAAACGCTCAAAGGACACTCAAGTAAGTTTTGCTAAAATTTAGTCATTTTATTTCTTTCGTTTATAACATGTTATTTAGTCATCTTATTTAAATTATTATAACATCTAATTTTTTTTTTATAGGTGGAGTATGATAAAAAAAAAAATCATTTTCTTTATCTGAGCATCATGAGTTACCTCCACCACCACAGGGAAACCCTGTTGATCCTTGTCTAGGTTTTCATACTTGGTATGATGCTGCTTGCGGGAAGAGGAAAAATGAAAGGGTGTATGGTGCTGGAGGGTATGCCAAACAATTAAGCGGCGTGATAGGACTTTCATGATGAGACTTGATGATGGAGAAGGATCATCACGCCCACCTATATTAACCGCTGATATGCTTAAAACTGTGAGAAATTTGGCGCAGACCGAGGCAGCACGTGAGGCAGCAGCTAGACAAGCAGAGATGGAGAAAATGAGGAGAAGACAAGCAGAGATGGAGGAAGAATTGAGGAGGAAAACATCGGAGTATGAGGAAGCAATGCGGATTGCAAATGAGCGTGCATTGAAATTTGAACAATTTATGACATTACATATGAATCAAGGTGTGGGAGGAAGAGATGAGGAAGATGGGCAGGATGGTGAAGAAGTTGATTAAATGTATTAAAATATAAAAATTATAATATATATTTTTATATTTTATTTTATTTTTGTCATGAATTATTTTTATTTTGATGATGGAATTGGATGTATACTTTTATTACACTTTTAATTATAAATTATTGTATTTTACAAAATATATATTTTTATTTATTATATAATTATATTAAAATATATATTTTTTATTATATAATTATATTATTCTAATTATAATAATATAATTATAAACTTAATAAAAATTTATTATATAATTATATATTATTCTAACTATAATAATATAATTAAATAATATAATTATAAAATTTAATAAAAAAATATTATATAATTATATTATTATTCTAATTATAACAATATAATTAAAATAATATAATTATAAATTATAAAAAAGTTATAAGCATTAGCTAGGGGTTAAACCCCTCACATCCAAAACGTAGGACAAATGACTAGAGGCTTAACCCCTCGCAAAATCCTTATGCAGACAGCTAGAGGTTTTACCCCTCACTAAATTCAAAAACCATGTAACTTAGGTAGGGGATTACCCCCTCGCAAAAGTATCTGGCACGTTTGTGCCTCTCTGTGGCTCTAGTCTATGTCTATGTCTGTAGCGCAACAGTCTGATTTTTTTCCATGACAATTTACGAGGGGCTTATCCCCTAGCCAAATTTGCGAGGGGTTTATCCCTTAGCCAATAATTTGCGATGTCCTGATTAGCTAGGAGTCTGTCTACTCGCAAATTGGTATTTTGTGATGAATTTTTTACTTTAGTGAGGGGTTTAACCCCTAACTATATACAATTTTTCTTCCGGTGTCCTAAATTAACATACCAATGAAATATGACTCCATCAAGCAGTCATTTAGATATAAAGTTTTAAAAACAATTTCCTAGGTAAGTTGTTTTGCAAGTTTAGTAAAATCTTATATTTATTTTTCATGTTTTATTATATATTATATATGGGAAATTATTTTCAAAGATTCTCATTAGATTGATTCCTTCAATTAAATTATAATATTTTATTTAAAGATTGAATATTTAAGTTATTTTTAAATTAAGAGAGTAAAAAAATCTCAAAATTAAAATATAGGACTATAAAAATATTAAATATTTATTATATAAATGTATGTTTCTATAAAAATTATTTGTATAACAATACATAAATTAACGTCAACTAACTTTTATATTTACTATAAATTAATTAATTTAGTAAATTTATCGATACATTTCTCTCCTCTTATTCAAAATTTTAAAAAAAATTACACTCCTTTTCTGTGAGATAAATGAACTATCTTTCATCCTATTATGTTAAAAGTTACATTTCATTCCCTCATAATATATTTAATATATGTTAATATTAGGGGTGATAAAATAGATGGATGGGATGAATATGAATTGAATTGTTAATGGATGGATCAAAGCAATCCATTAATCCATTAACAATCCACTAAACTCTCTTAATAAAAATCAAATCCAATCCATCCATTAAAAGATAAAATTCATCTAATTTATCCATTAACATATTTCTAATTGATGGATATTCATCGATCCAAAAAATTAATGTAAAATTTTTTAATTTAATAAGTGGCACCATAATATCCAATGGATTTATAAAATGAGATGAATGGCTTGAATCCATCAATATGAGTTAGTGGATGGATTGGATCAAATCCATTAAATTATTTTTTGTGTTAGAATGAATTTGAGGAATATATTATTGAATGAATATTATTTAAATGGATTTCATTATCACATCTAGTTAATATACTTAAATTTCTACTAACGGAGTAACATGTGTGATGTTAATTGGGTCTTTAGAGTCTATAAGATTTTTAGGTGTCGTGGTTGGAAGCTTGTGCTCCCAAGGGATTTGTCTAAGAAACTCTTTGTTTGTATGAAAGAGAATGAAAACCTACAGCTAAGATCATATTGGATAGGATTTATATTACAAATAGTTCAAAAATATGAAGATCATCGATTGTACAAAATGTAAGTACTATTGAGAACTCCACAAGATTAACTTTTTCCAACAGGATAAGCTCGTGCTCAAGAAAGAGAAACGGTGCTTTAAAAGTGTATTAAAAATTA